CCACTCAGTGAACTATGGTTGCCAGGTGCTAGGAACACAGCAGCAGACAGGGAAGGGATCTGGGTGTCCGGGCAGCATGCAGGCAAGCAGGGCAGCCACAGCACTGATAACCATGTGTACATTTGCCTGGCCTGTGACCCACCTTGCCACTGCTCTGGAGGAGAGACAGCCCCTCCCATTGTATTTATTTCTAATAACATACCATAAAAAGCTGTGAAGTGTTGTCCCTGCAAATAGTTCATCTTTGCCATGGCTCCATGAAGACTGGGTTGCTCCCCCCCTCACAGGGAGATGGTAGACAACCTCAACGCTGAGCATCAGCAAGCTGGTTGGTGTGGTGACTCCCCTGTAGGCTTTACAGCAGACAGGGAAAAAAACGATCCACAAAGAGATAAGAATGAAACTCAGCTCAGTGTGATTTTATTGTAACTGGGGTTGGACCAGTGCTTCTAAAGTCTGGCCCAGATCATTTTCCTTTAGCACAGCACAATTTTTGGAAAAAGTATTCAGATAACAATTAACTCTGTCCCAAGTGCACAAAAATTTATGACATGTTTACATTGAGATACCTTACAAAGTACAGTTGGCTTCTTAGGAATGGGTACTGTTGACTCAGAGATAGTACTCAAGGTTTAGGGACTAGGAAGTTTGACTGAGGTAAATATGAGGCCAGTGGGTATCCTGGCCCTACGATAACATAGAAGCCGTTCAGGCTGTTGTGAAGCACAAGTGACCTCACTCATAAGAGTGGGTTTTATGGTCTAAGAGCAATGCTCGAGATTTAGGGGGAAATGGCTTGGATAAGTAAAAACATAAATTCTGAGAGATAAGGCAGAGCCTGTCGCATCAGACAGCAAAGGATCACCAGGTTGTATATCGACATCATTCTTAGCCTTCCAGGAAGAGCAGCTTCACACCTCATGCTGTTGAAGAGGTGAGCTGTGTGTTAAACATCCCTGACTTCTCCTGTGCTCATCTGTGTGCACAGGGCTCTTTGCTCTCTACAGCTTGGCTCATCTGGGGTGGGGAAGCCATAGGCCAGCTGCAGAAGGATGCTGTATCAGGATCTGGACAGGGGACTGGTACCCTAGGGAGGAGATGAGGGAGGAAGCCGCTGGCCAGGCATGACTTCCTGGGTAGATCCTTCACTGTCTAGGTCATAGGTCAATCCTCTTCACTTTCCTGGCACTGAGGCCCATGGCTCATTGGACATTGCCTACTGGTGTTGGGAATGGAGAAGGCAGAGTGTGATTTGGGGATGAAAGAATGGCTGAGGAAGTCACAGCCGGCTTCTTAGGAGTCAGTGTGGTTCTTGTCACTCTCAGGAACCAGGCACAATGCATGCAGGATAACTGGGGGGTGGGCATCTTTGGGTCCTGGAACTAGCCCTGTTGCAGGCTCAATTTGGGATTCATACTTTGGGTTCTTCCTGTTCCCTCTGCTGTGTGACACATTTGGAGTGACATGTGTGTCAGCCACACATCTGAGGCTGACATTGCCCTCAGATCCAATGTCACTTCCTGGGATTTTTTTTTTTTCCTTGTCTTTTTTTTTTTTTTTTTGCTTTGGGTGCTTCTAGTGTGAGGGTAGCTGCAAGGGGCTTCTGGCAGGAGGGTTCTGAGAAAGGTGTTATGTCGGGTACTTAACTGGGCTCAGGTCGGTCCAACAGGGGTCCTGACTCTCTATCCCAGGCTGCCTTTGTGGTTCAGGACTTAACGCTTTGCTGAAGATCTGACCCTCAGACCACAAATGCTATTATTCTGAGCATCTGTCACTGTGTGTCCTGAGAAGGCTGGCT